TGTGTGTGAGTGTTTGTGTGTGTGTGTGTGTGTGTGTGTGTATGCGTGAATGTGTGTTTGTGTGTGTGTGCGTGAATGTGTGTGTGTGTGTGCATTTGTGTGTGTTTGTTTGTTTGTGTGTGTGTGTGTGTGTGTGTGCACGCGCATGTGCGTGTGTGTGTGAGAGAAATCAAAACTGAAATTAAACTGAAAACTGAAAATATAAAAATAAAAGCTCAATTAAAAATACATTTAAAAAAATGCTATAATAGTGTTTAAAATATAAAAAGTATAACATATTTACTGTGAGTATACATTTAATCTGAGGAAAAATTACAATGAAACTTTTGAAGCAAACTACATTTTCTGAAGGAAATGAGGTGTGAAAATTCGCAAGGCCCTTTTAAACGACTCAGACACTCACAGAAGACAATTGTTGACATACTTAGTCTTGGATGAATTTGATGAGAAATATTTGAGTTTATATCAAGATCTCTGACTTTTGATGGCAAACTTTGGTACCTTTTCAGTCTGAGCACAGTTTGAAACATATCATCTTAAACTCTCGAGGAGAAGTGAGAAATTTGAGCAAAAGTCTCCACTCGTTGTCTTAGAAGAAACACTCGAGATGAGTTCTTCGTCTTTCATATGGACTGAAGTCAATGATATTCAGGGTGGACCAAACTGTAGCAGCTCCTCACGTATCAGCGTTAGGTTGCACTTTCTTACCTTGGGTTTGGGTGTGACGCTCGTGCTGGGTCCTGGGATGGTGTCAGGTGACTGCTGCAATCACAAAGAGACAAACAAGCGCACATGAACATCACAGCCTTCAGATACAGCTGAAATGTTCTGCAGGGGCCCTTAAGGGCATAAATTATAATGCGCCGACGTGACCTTCACATGAAAAGCTCTGCAGAAATGCGATTTTATGAGCTAATCCCATCTCGCCAGTGACATTCTGCCATGTTTCTGGATGTCATGTTGTGCTTTTGACGTTGACGAAGCAAATCTTCCTGCATGTTTGGTTTTGACATTTCACACTGATGCAGCATGCAAATCGTGCGGCAAACTCTGACTGTGCTTTGAAAGGTGAACGGGGTCAAACTTGTGTTGAGTATTTTGATATACTATGGTACTAAATAACTTCCATATCTATACACCATGACGATTATGCCATAGCACAACCATAGCACAATTTATATAAATAAATAAAGAATAGAAATATATAAAAAAAATAATGAAAATGACAAAAGCACATAACACAATTACTAAAACTAAAATTAAATATGTACAGTATAAAAATAAAGAATAGAAATATATTAAAAATAAAAAGTAATAAAAATGACAAAAGCACATAACACAATTACTAAAACTATAATTAAAAATATATAAAAATAATAATAATAAATAATACTTAATTAAATAATACTAAAATAACACTAGCCTAGGGAAATACCATGGTGCTTTTGTTCATGGATGCTTAACCTCATGGCTAACAAAACTGTGCAGGCAGAGTCTGTGACATGAGGGACTTAATGACATTTCACTTCTACTTAATAATTCTCTCTCAGCATGACATAAGTTCATATTAAACAGGCGCAGTCGTGCAATCATGTCGGACCCTCGATCGGCTCTGAGCTCTCTAAAGTGACGTTCTGTAAGAAAGAAGGCTTGTTAGGTTTGATTTGGACAAACTCAGTGTCGGGTCTTCATTTCCAGAGCCGGATCAGTGGACAGAACTGGAACAAAGATGCTGATCCTCATTATAATGATCAGAACTTTGATCATTTTATCTGTTCATAAGTTTTATCTGTGTGGAGTGACCCACATTCACTCCTCTATATGTGTCTTATTCTCTTCACATCCAATCTTGTGTCTCCATTGTCCTATTACACAACAGCATAATAGAATATATAACGATATTTCGGATTGCATGGTCCTTGTTCTTCACCACATAAGTGTATTTTATTATTTAAGTAACCTGCATATAGTCACATTTGTTCATTGTGCAATCTGTGTCACTCATTTCTGCACGTTTTGCTAACTGGTTCAATCTCACATCCGTTGAGCAAAAAGATAAACATTAAAATATAAAAAAATAAACAAAGGTTTCACAGCCTGATGTCATGAGAGAACATTTAAAGTTCCAAAAAGAACGGCCAATATATGTGGTTGCCAAGGTGCTTTATGTGGTTGCTAGGGTGTTGCTAGAGTGTTCTAGAGATTGCTAGACCAATATTACTAAGGTGTTCTATGTGAATAGTAGACAGTTGCTAGGGCATTAGGGCACAGAGTGTCCGAGGCGGTTGCTAGGGTGTTGCCAGACCATTATATGTGACCCTGGACCACAAAACCAGTCATAAGAGTAAATTTTTCGAAATTGAGATTTATACATCACCCGAAAGATGAATAAATAAGCTTCCCATTGATATATGGTTTGTTAGGATCTGACAATATTTGTCCGAGATGCAACTATTTGAAAATCTGGAATCTGAGGGTGCAAAAAAATCTAAATATTGAGAAAATCATCTTTAAAGTTGTCCAAATGACGTTCTTAGCCATGCATATTACTAATCAAAAATTAAGTTTGAATATATTTACAGTAGGAAATTTACAAAATATCTTCATGGAACATGATCTTTATTTAATATCCTAATGATTTTTGGCATAAAAGAAAAATTGATAGTGCTTTTGACGTTGACGAAGCAAATCTTCCTGCATGTTTGGTTTTGACATTTCACACTGATGCAGCATGCAAATCGTGCGGCAAACTCTGACTGTGCTTTGAAAGGTGAACGGGGTCAAACTTGTGTTGAGTATTTTGATATACTATGGTACTAAATAACTTCCATATCTATACACCATGACGATTATGCCATAGCACAACCATAGCACAATTTATATAAATAAATAAAGAATAGAAATATATAAAAAAAATAATGAAAATGACAAAAGCACATAACACAATTACTAAAACTAAAATTAAATATGTACAGTATAAAAATAAAGAATAGAAATATATTAAAAACAAAAAGTAATAAAAATGACAAAAGCACATAACACAATTACTAAAACTATAATTAAAAATATATAAAAATAATAATAATAAATAATACTTAATTAAATAATACTAAAATAACACTAGCCTAGGGAAATACCATGGTGCTTTTGTTCATGGATGCTTAACCTCATGGCTAACAAAACTGTGCAGGCAGAGTCTGTGACATGAGGGACTTAATGACATTTCACTTCTACTTAATAATTCTCTCTCAGCATGACATAAGTTCATATTAAACAGGCGCAGTCGTGCAATCATGTCGGACCCTCGATCGGCTCTGAGCTCTCTAAAGTGACGTTCTGTAAGAAAGAAGGCTTGTTAGGTTTGATTTGGACAAACTCAGTGTCGGGTCTTCATTTCCAGAGCCGGATCAGTGGACAGAACTGGAACAAAGATGCTGATCCTCATTATAATGATCAGAACTTTGATCATTTTATCTGTTCATAAGTTTTATCTGTGTGGAGTGACCCACATTCACTCCTCTATATGTGTCTTATTCTCTTCACATCCAATCTTGTGGCTCCATTGTCCTATTACACAACAGCATAATAGAATATATAACGATATTTCGGATTGCATGGTCCTTGTTCTTCACCACATAAGTGTATTTTATTATTTAAGTAACCTGCATATAGTCACATTTGATCATCGTGCAATCTGTGTCACTCATTTCTGCACGTTTTGCTAACTGGTTCAATCTCACATCCGTTGAGCAAAAAGATAAACATTAAAATATAAAAAAATAAACAAAGGTTTCACAGCCTGATGTCATGAGAGAACATTTAAAGTTCCAAAAAGAACGGCCAATATATGTGGTTGCCAAGGTGCTTTATGTGGTTGCTAGGGTGTTGCTAGAGTGTTCTAGAGATTGCTAGACCAATATTACTAAGGTGTTCTATGTGAATAGTAGACAGTTGCTAGGGCATTAGGGCACAGAGTGTCCGAGGTGGTTGCTAGGGTGTTGCCAGACCATTATATGTGACCCTGGACCACAAAACCAGTCATAAGAGTAAATTTTTCGAAATTGAGATTTATACATCACCCGAAAGATGAATAAATAAGCTTCCCATTGATATATGGTTTGTTAGGATCTGACAATATTTGTCCGAGATGCAACTATTTGAAAATCTGGAATCTGAGGGTGCAAAAAAATCTAAATATTGAGAAAATCATCTTTAAAGTTGTCCAAATGACGTTCTTAGCCATGCATATTACTAATCAAAAATTAAGTTTGAATATATTTACAGTAGGAAATTTACAAAATATCTTCATGGAACATGATCTTTATTTAATATCCTAATGATTTTTGGCATAAAAGAAAAATTGATAATTTTGACCCATACAATGTATTGTTGGCTATTGCTACAAATATACCCCAGCGACTTAAGACTGCTTTTGTGCTCCAGGGTCACATATATGGTTGCTAAGATCTTCTATGTGAAATTTACACAATTGCTAGGTGGTTGCTAGGGCATAGCTAGAGTGTTCTAAGTGGTTGCTAGGGCATTGCTAGGTGGTTGCTAAGGTGTTGGTAGGCCGTTATAAGTGGTTGCTAAACTGTTCTACAGTATGTGATTGTTATGGCATTACTAAATTGTTGCTAGAGTGTTCTGGTTGGTTGTTAGGGCACTGCTAGGTGGTTGCTAACGTGCAACAGGTGATTGTTAGGGTATTTTTGGTGGTTTCTTTCTGGTCCAAATTAAAAGAGCCCAAAACACAGTTTCTCAATATATGGCTTGTGTCTAGAGCTTATTAGCAATATGTGATAAACTTAAGATTAATGAGTCAATCAATTTAGATCAATCAAGACCAATTTAAATCCATTGGATAAGGACAATCCAATGAGTCTCCTGAATAAATAAATCTCAAAAAGAATTAAAATCATATCGCAAAGCAACCCTGATGGCAAAGCATATTACAGCAGGTTAGTGCGCAAAATATCTACATAAGTCTGTTGGATTCTTCAGCACATTTAACAAAGCACAACTGGAAGAGCTTAATAAAGTGACGGAGCAGCTCTTCTCAAGAAACATGATTCAAGGACTCAATCACGTTTGGAACACAAACACTGCACGACGATGCACAAGCTTAACTTCAATACGAAGTGTTTGAGGTTTGTTCAATTCAGCAGTTTCTATATCTAAACAAACCGCAAATTAATATTTCCAAACGGGTTTCGCAAACACTCAAATCAGGAAGATAAAAATGGCTTACAAGCAACATTACCATTCTGTTATCATGTTTATCATCAAAAACCTCTGAACAACAGAGATGAATTCATGCGGCATGAATACTGTTTGAAATTCCTGTGATGATGGTATCTGTGGTTTTCTGCGGGCTGCTTTCCGTGGGCCGACCTGCAGGTATCCGCAGACAGACCGCTATCAGCAAGCGCTCGTCTCTCTGCAGACGAATCTCTCCAGGGGCTGTGCGTGCGCTCGAGACTTCTCATTTAGGAATCAGCGTTGTCTTTAGATGTTTCTCCTAAGACACAAGACCACATTTGACATAGTGTACGAGTAAAATTAATGTCAAAAATGACTAAAGTTCATTTGATCTTGGAAAAATGCGATTGAAAATCTTCATATTGAGAAGTTTTGAGATCTTTTTCTTCAGGAGAAACATTTGAGAAACTCCTCATTTAAAGGAGACATATCATGCCCCTTTTTACAATAAGTAATATAAGTCTCAGGTGTCCCCAGAATGTGTCTGTGAAGTTTCAGCTCAAAATACTCCACAGATAATTTATTATAACATTTTGAAAATGCCTATTTTGAGTGGAAGCAGAAACACGCTGTTTTTCGTGCCTGTCTCTTTAAATGCAAATGAGCTGCTGCTCCCCGCCCCCCTTTTCCAGAATAGAGCTGCGCCATTACAGTGCGTACCTGCTAAAAACATCTGTTTCGGTTCTGATTATCATGTTGAAATCATGCGTTTTACACCATATGAGTTTAAACTTCTGATATACGGTTTTCTGAGAGCACACATTCGAAGCACACCAAGTAGGAATAACTGCCGACCGGAGATCTCCAAAATGGGGCGTGAACTCCAAAAGTGGGCAGAACCTCCAAAATGGGGCGGGGTCTCCTCGCTCAAAAACTTTCACCATTGGCTCTGGCTTCAGCCAATTGATATTGACTTACATTTCAAAATAAAACTTTATAAATTAAACATTGTTTCTAGTTCATCTAAAATAAGATATGCTATATAAGTAAATATTCTCCGTGAGAGCAGAGCCCAAAGCTCGTGGCCAGTGGTGTTCGGACTGGAGTTTGAACATCTGCTTCATGATATAAACGGGAATCACCCACAAGCTCTCCCACGAGCCGTCCCAGCACAGCGCAGGGGAACAATTTCACTCTATCGCTGTGTTCTAAGCAACAGGGGCGTCCCGGGGCTTGAAATTCAATGTGAGTACTAAACTAAGTTCTCATTCACACACAAGTTTACGTTAAAAACACACGAGTTACAAAAAAAAGTCAGTTATGTCTGTGAAGGTAAATAGCTGGGAAAGAAATCACGTTTATTTTAGATCAGTGTGGCAGCAGCAATATGCAGTAAATAAATCAATAAATGCACTGCTCTGTTGTCTCCTCTGAGGCTGGGACT